TCTACTCTGAGGAGCCTCTTGTTATTGTCATCTTATAATTTATTAGATGAGCATAATTAAAACATTAATCAGCAGATGGCACTTGACGATGTACTTGTAATCTGGTTCATAGTGCGTTGTCATCACGCAGACTAGGAGATGGGCAGAGTCCCCTTAAACAGTGAACATTTCAGAGAGATTAAGTTGACCTTAATCATTTAATCAGAAAACTTGGGAAGAGTGTATTGCCCAGTATTTTAATCAGAAATATCTTTTGCTTATGAAGTGAGAGAGCCTGAGAGAGAGAGAGAGAGTGAGAGTGAGAAATAAGTGGAAGGTGGGGTGAAAAGAGAGAGAGATATTGGGAAGAGAGCGGGGTCACATCTTTTTCCTTGAATTCTTGTTGGCTCATTAACCTGGTTTGCTTATGTGGAAATCCCTAGAGATGTCTCAACCTCCCAGAGTCAGTAATAAAATGGTAAAAGGAGCAAAAAAAATTAACTTTCCTTGAGGGCCTATCGTGTGCCAGGCATATGCCATTCGCTTTAGAGATACTAACTGAGGCTCATAATAGGGACATATCGGGATTACATAAATCATTAGCATTGGAACTGGCATACTATCCTTGCACCAAATTGTCCAGCAGTCAAAATGCTAGTTGTAAATTTTTTTCTTTGTTTGTCTTAATATTTCCTTTTCATCTTTTGGTGAACTACAACAGTAAGATTATAGACACATGCAAAAAAGTAAATAGTACAAATAAGATATTTGGAATTACCATACCTGAAATGACTTTGTAAGGTTTATCCTTCCCTTTCATAATAACTTTTTATAAATGCTTTACATGGATGTGAGAAGAAGGGGAAAAAATTAAATGAAAAGATGTCTACTTAAAATTATGAAGCTGAAATTCTCACTAAGAAGTAAACCTAAAAATTCTGTTTAGTTCAACTCAATTCAGTAATTATGTACTGAAGACATATCAGTCTCTAGACTGGGTACTGCAAAACCAAGATGGAAAGAAAAAAACATTCATGACATAAGGTTGTAGAATGTAAGAATTTAAAAGTCACAATGGAGTTTTTAAAAGTCGGCATAATAATTGAGAAAGAAAATACAATCAATGTTTGTTGTATTTTTATTATTAAAAACAATACTGGGCTGATTCTAATAGATTTCTATCATTATTTCATGGGAGAAAACATACTTTCATTATTAAATTTTTAAAAAAATTTTTGCATAAGCACTCAAGAGGAGATTTTCCTTTCCTCTATTATTAAAGTTTCTTTGAGATATACTCAGCCTTTCTGACATCTTTGAATTGAGGTAAAATAGACTTTGGGAATGAAATATTTTCCTAGCATGAGAAAATAGGGTTCCCACTTGATAAAACTGGGCAGAACAGATCAGGCAGCTTGCGTAGGAGCAACGGGCAAGAGGTGAGCAGGGCTGATCCCAAATCTTAGTCTCTTCCTGGTCCAGGCATATTTGCCATTGGTGTTCCAGCAAACCGTATTATAGTCTTTACTCCCATGGTATAAAGGAAAGCATGTTGTTAATACTGTACTATTAATTTGCATATTTGAAGAAATAAAGGTAATGGGAGAAGAGAAAACTTCAGGATTGATCTTTGCTTTCTCTTCTCTTTATTTTTTTCTCGCTCTTTCTTCTTCCTAGTTACCTATACTCCCTTAAATATCTTTGTAACACAATGAAGAAATTGCTATTTAAAAATCATAAAATATAAACGTA